TTTATTTTTCTCACCTTTATATTCTCCATGCCTAGAAAATGGTATGTATTCACCCAATACACTAAAAGGTGCCTCTCCTCATTTTGCTACTTCATAACACTGAACTCTTCTCATTTTCCTTCCACATGTCTGATTTTTACTCCTTTTTAGCTTTCACATAGGCTCATCTTTACCCCCACATCCTAAAGATAAGTATTCTCCAAAGCATCACCCTTGGAATGCTTTTTCTACTTTAAATATTGAGAGACAATAATTTCCAAATTATACTCTCCGGTTGACTTATTTCCAGAGCTCCAGTGCCATATTTTCAGCTGTTATTCCGTACCTTTTACTGGGTTATAGCAATAGTACTACCTGTGTGACCTCAGGCAAATCAAGTCAAAATGAGGGAGCTACATTTCTTTGCATATAGAGTTCTAATTTCCCCCAGCTAAAATTAAATGTTATTTACAGTCAAATTATCCCTCTCTCTGGCTAGTTTTCACCTATGTATTTCACCATACACTACTCCAACACAATTGGCCTCTGCCTAGAATACCTTTCCCTTCCTCCATATCCAAAGTTTCTCTAATCTTCAAAGCTCAGTCCAAATGCCACTTCCAGGAAGCTGTCTGTGATCTCCTTGAAGCCTCTGCCTCTCTTTCACGGGTGTAGGGCTCATCCTTCTAGTATTATAGTTGCTTTTGTATTTCTTTTCTCTCCTGCTACTGTGTCATCATGGGACGCAAGGCTATTCCTAAATCCTCCTGTATCTCCCACATTGTCTTTGGCTCATAGTAGGTGCTTAGTAACCTTATACTGAATGGATTCAGTTTAGGCCACGTGAGTCATCCTGTTCAAACCCTTTTAATCAGTCCCCGTGTTTCTGGAATCAAAACCAATATTTTTTAAATGGCCCATTCTAGTCACACCAGTTTTTGCTACACTTTTCAGATTTGCTATGTATGCTTCTCTCATCACATGGACCCCTATCCTCTCTACCTCACCCCATATAAGTCTCTATTCAGCCTCAATGTCAGTTCATCAAGGGTGCTTTGCTTAAACTCAAAGTTAAATCAGTTTTCCCTGTTATATACCATCATAGCTCCACCCCTACATTTTTCGCCATAGAATTTATTGGTGACTGAAATGGCATAGTTGTATAATTATTTGATTAATACTCTCTTTTGCATCAAAATATGAACCCCAGGCAAGCAGGGACCATGTCTGTTTTGCTCACATTTGTATCCTCTATAAGTGTGTAACCACATCACTGAAAGAATTAATAATAATAAATAATTATGGTGTCAAACGACTGAACTGATGACTGTCTGAGTTAATGGTAAGAATTTGAGATTTAGAGTACACAAAATATTTGCCTGGCTTCCTAAAATCCCTTCAAAGTAACATTGAGATGCCAGGCAGCCCTCTAGAATAGTCAAGCTGGTGTTGTATTCAACATAAAAAATCTATAAAATAAGATGAATACTGTTCCCCAAATGCAGAAGAAAGCCAAAATTGACTTTCTTTACTGAATGCATGGTCCCATAACTGACACAAATGGTTCGCTCATTTATTCAACAAATATTTAGTAAGCACCTATTCTATGCTAGTGGCTGATAGTAGAATAAAGTGAAAAAGTGAACTGATAAACCCTTTGGCCACTTAGAATATACAGTCTAATAGTGGAATTTGTCGAATAATTAAGGAAACTAAGAGGTTTAAGAAAAAAACAAACTTTTTTTTGCAATCATAGCACCTGAATAATTCTACTCTGAGTAGGTGTTGAGGTCTTCATAAAAGGAGATATTTAACCATACCACGAAAGATCATCTGAAAGGTGATTTAGAAATTATAGGTGGGTCTAATTTGGGCTTCTAAAATTAGATGGGCAAGTAGCCTAGACTAGTGCACTCAGTATGGCAGTAATGAGCAAAATACTGAAAGTGAGAGTGAGCACTTAGAAAATATCACAGCAATTAAAAAAATTGGATGTCTGTTGAGTCTAATAATCAAAATGTGGGCTTATATTTTGTATGTGTTTTCTTTTCTTTCGCTTTCTAGTAATTCACGGTTAGTGTATTTTATTAAAGTAACAGTCTTCTGTGATGGATTGGGGGAAAAAAAAGAACAACTTGTGCTTTACTAAAATAGTTTGACAAGCACTCCACTAGAGCTTTGCTACTTGAAGTGTGGTCACTGGAACAGTAGTTTCAGGATCGCCTAGCAGCTTGTTAAAATGCAAAATCTCAGGCCCCGCCCTGGACTTCCCTAAATCAAAATTAGCATTTTAACAAGATCCCCAGGGGGGTGTTTTTGCATATTAAGGTTTGAGGTGCACTGGCCTAGATGATTTCTGAAGTCCCTCATAACCCATAACCCTGAGATTGTATTATGTACTTCAGATGGAGAATTTCAGAGTTGAAAGACCCTTGGAGATAGAGTCCACCCCATGATTTTATAGATGGAAACACTGAGTTCCCTGGAGGGGGAGTCATGTCTCTAAAATAACTGACAAATTCCCAGAGCCAGGAATGGAACCCAAATTTGCTACCAGTCATGTCAGTGTTCCATTATAGCACACCACATGCCAACTCTCTTTCCACCCAGTACCACTCCTCATGGCGCCATCCCCAATATCCTCAGCGAGGTCATATTTCTGAGGTACTCTCCGATATAACAGTTTATTCTTATACCTTCCATATACTGTATGGACCTTGAATCACCACTATTTTAAACGTCTTCTTCATGATCATTGCCCTTAATCTCTGCCACCCAAATTTCCCCACATGCTCATTGTCTAGATGCCATAGAGACATTCTGGGACTTTAGAAGGACTAGTACCAACCAATTCCTGGCCTTTAGGGTACAAAAAAATTACCTCCTTTGTTCCCATCAGTCCAGTTGACACCAGATAGCAAGCTCTTCCAAGGAAGAGAACACACACTATCAATCAGGGTTGCTTTAGAAAGCTCAGTACAATCAGTTTGTGGCTAACAAGTAAGCGGAATATTAGACCATATTAAGATAAGTCTAGTCTCCAGCATGAAGTAAATTATGATCCTTCATTGTGTGGTCTTATTAGATTCATGGCTACATGATTATTGTCTTTAACTTACTGAAGAACTATTGTTAAGAAAAAGCAAATTTGTTCCAGATAGTCTTAAAGAACCAATGAACAGAAGTTATAGTGAAACAGATTTTGGCTTTTAATTCAGACTACTTTCTGACAATCAGTGTTGTTCAATAACACAAAAAGCCACCTAATGAGCTCTCTGTCACTGCAGGGAGTTCAAATAGAAATCAGTCAACAAATTGGATGCTTAGGGTAAATTCAAGAACTGTGTGAAGAAGTGAAGCTTAATGAATGACCTTTAGGGCCCCTTCCAAGAGCAAGGGTTTTGGATTATAAAATCTTCAGCGCAGAATAACTCCAAACGCTCAGGAAATAAGAGCAAGGTATGTTTCTAAAAGGTGCAGTTCAGTGCACGTGGGGTGGATGAGGCTGTGAAAAGTGAAGTCCTTCCAGGTGAGGCTTGACTCCAGCCTAATTCCTGTTACTCTACACAAAGGCCAGGCCACCACTTTCCAAAAAAAAAAATATCGCCAAGCCCCATCTTTCCTATTGTACCTATACTTGTTTGACAGACAAAGGTGCAAAAGTCTCCCCAAGGAGGCAGTAGACCATAGATTCTGGAACCAAGTTGCCTGTGTCTTAATTACCCATTGGGACATTTTTTTGTTCTGTAATCTTGGACAAGTTGCTCAACCTCTCTGTGCCTCAGTTTCCACATCAGTAAGCCAAGGATAATAATAGCGTCTGCTCTGTAGGGTTGACATAATCATTCAGTGAGGTAATAATACACACTGAACCTTCAGCTCAGGATGCAAAACATAGTACACACTCAAAAACGTTAGCCATTAGTATTATGAATGCCAGAATTACTATCAAGAGCACAGCAGTGTCACTCACTCAAAAAGCCCCATCAAGCAATCAGTTCCCTTCCCCTACCAGTTCCCAGGGGCTCTACTACAAGAGCTCCAGCCAGTCCAGTCTGCATAGCTCCAGACAACCAGAACCTGCTGACCCCCCAAAAGCCAAACCTTTCATGCTGGGAATCTGACAGACACCCCTCCCCCAGCCCTCCTGCCCATGCCACAGTCAGAAAAGCTGCAGACTGGGAATCCAGTTCTACACAAACCATCAGGTGTTTCCTCCCTCCCAAGGACACAGCTGGACTTAATATGCTATCTACCCGTGGGACAGGGTGGGGTATCTGAATCCCTGGTCTAGACTGTCAGCTCAGCTACCTGGAAGGAGGGTGGGCAGGCAATGGGGCTTCCCTCAGGGAAGCAAGACAAGCCTCCCAAGTTTGTGGAGGCAGTCAGGCCCAACCCCACAGTGAGCCTCTTAAAGGGAGGGGGAAGGTCTCCACCTGCTTCAAAGGAAGCAGTTATTTACAACTTTCTACTTACTTGCTTTGGGGGAGGTAGTGGGGAGATGGAGAAAGGGCTGCAAGGTCCCTTTCTTCTTTCTCGTCTCCAGCAGCGAGAAGCAGCTGCAAAGAAAGAGTTAAAGGAGGGAGGAAGCTCCAGCCATTACCCCATCCCTGGTACCTAGGGCTGTCTGGGGGGTCATGACAGTGCTGTCTGCTCTGGCTAGGGGCCACTCTGTGGCTTTCTGCAGCAGCTGCTGGGCCCCCCAAGCAATTTGCAAGGTCAATGCTGACCTGCTTCCAAAGAGGAACAAAACAATTCACTGACAATGAAGCAAATCACGCACACACCACATCGCAACCCCCCTTCCCCAAATCGGGTTTTACCCCAGTGTCTCCCCGCTCAGATGCCGCCTCTGGGCTTCCACCAACCCCGCTGGGGAACCCAGGATAGCATCACAGCTGCAGAGCATGTCTCGCCTCCCTGGCCAACCCAAGGAGACTCTCAGTACGGGGGAGAGATGCTATCGCTAAAGGAGACCTGAGCTTGGGGGAGGGGGAAGAAGGAACATATATGTTTCTTACCGAGCGCCACAGTCACTTCCCCAAAGCAGAGAGGAGAGAAGGATGAATGAACTGAAACAAGTTGGAGGTTGAGCCCTGACACAGAGCTCGGCTTCTGGCTTCTTATTCTCTTTCTCTGGGTCTCTCTCCTGGTCCCTCTCTCGGTCTGTCTCTCGGTTTGCTCGCTAGCTTGCGCGCGCTCACGCTCTCCCTCTCTCCCTCTCTCCCTCCCTCCGTCTCTCTCTCCCTCCCTCTTCTCTCTCTCTCTCTCTCTCTCTCTCTCTCTCTCTCTCTCTCTCTCTGTCAGTCTCTCTCTCCCCTCCTCCCCTCTCCTCCTCCCCTCCCCCTTTGCTAGCTTTGGATCCACCACTGCCTGGTGCTGAGCACGCGGCCGTGCTGGGGCTCTGAATACAGCGCTGCAAGGCTTTAGATCTGTGGTTGTTTTACGAAAGACTAAAGTAGTATTTTATTCTTTAAGGCATCCAGCAGAGAAATAGAGGGAAGCTCTGACAGAAGGGGAGGATCAGAGGAAGCAAGGGGGAGAGAAAGAGAGCAAAAGGGTAAAAGCGAATAGAAGGATAAAGGGAGTATGGATTACTGTAGCTGATGTGTGATTCTTACTTCCTCCCTTTCTCTCTGTCTCCTTTACATCCCTATGGGCGTGCCTTCTAACCCAGTCTCCAAATAAAGATTTGACAATCCTGTCTGTTCAGATTCCAGCTCTGAAGACAATAATGAGCTTAAAAAATGTACATGAAAGGGGTTGTCATTCACATTCCACTAAAGAAGAAAGAGTTCAGTCGCATTGATCCCCTATTGACCTAACTTCCACCCCCACCTCCGACCAAGTAGAAGTGCAGACCCAGTTCAAAACTGTCACCTCGAGCTTCCCTCTAGGCAAGAGAGCCAAGCAGCAGAACCACAATGCTTTCCTTTCCAAAAATGTTGCAGGAAATATAGGGTGTGTGTGTGGGTGTGTGTGTGTGTGTGTGTGTGTGTGTGTGTGTGTGTGTGCGCGCGCGCGCGCGCGCGCGCCCGCGCGCCTACCCAAGAGTCTGCACAAGGGGGGAGGGGAAAGAAGTTGATTGACTCAAAGTATAAAAGAATTATATTCCCATTGGAGTAAAATTTTTTTAAAAAGCAACCAGGGCAAAGTACAGTAACAGTGCAACATAGGGTGGAAAGACACCTATAGCAAAGAGTAAAATAAAGGAGCTTGCGTTTAGTTCTGCCACTGAGAATTACTGTGTTGCCCTCAAGGAGTAACTTCTTCAATTGCGCCCTCAGTCTCCTCAATGGTAAAATGAATGGTGATGGATACAGGTGACCCCTCAAAGACCCTTCCAGATCTAACAGACTAGGTTCTAAAGACAGGAGAAGTCCTGGTAAAGGAGGAGTTGATCCTTGGAGGATAACACATATACTGCCAAATTTCAAAGACTCTCCAAAGGTGAGTCCCCAAATGGAACTCCAAATCACAGTGACTAAAATTGCATTTGTGGCATTTCAGGGGCAACATGAATATAAGCATATGAGGAAGGAGTTGCCCCATCAAAGAATTAAGCATCTACCCACATATATTGAATAGCTTAAACATTTTCTTACTTAAATCCCTCATATTGTGATTTCTAGTTCAGTTGGCCGGGCTCGGTGGCTCAGCTTCTAATCCCGCGCCTTGGGAGGCTGAGGTGAGTGGACTGCCTGAGCCCGCGGGTTCGAGACCCGCCTGGGCAACTTGGCGAGACCTCATCTCTACACTAAATCAAAAT